CCCGCTACGGCCCCCAGTTCACCCTGCAGCACGTCCCCGATTACCGACAGAACGTCTACATCCCGGGCAGCACCGCCACCCTCACCAATGCCGCCGGCAAGCGTGACGCCAAGGGCGCCGGCTCCTCGGGGGGCAACAAGAAGAAATCCGGGAAGAAGGAGAAGAAGGACAGAAGAAGAAGAAGGAGACCTTAGAGCTACAGGGCAGCCGGCTCCAGCACTCCCCCAAAACCACAGCCCAGGCCGGAGGAAGAATGTCAATATTTTTTTTTTTTTTTTTTGTGATGCAAAAAGTAGGAAATGCTGCGAATGTATCTTTGTCATCATCATCAGAGCTAGGAGCAGGGTCTCGCTGCTGTTAGATCTCATGATGAAAACCAATCCAGAAGCTAAACCGAATGCAAACAAGTGCCCTGTGAATACTTGCTAACGTTTTATACGATCCCTCGGGTATTAGAATATGCAAAGGCGGAAGGTCTTCTGCCACGTCTTTGGATGCGATTTGCTCCCAGATAGTCCGAGAACGGCACGAGGCTTGTGCCTGGCTTTGCCCAGTGTAAATAATTTTAACACGGATCTTTTGATTTGTAGACCTTCGATCATTTTTCGGAAAGGAAAAGGAAGTTCCTTAGCTTAGAGCCCATGCTCCAGATCTTTGCTCTTAAACTTTCCATTAGTAAAATTCACCCCCAGTTAATGATAGCGATGGGTTTGTTGCTGAGAAGTCGGTAGGGAGTGCTTCAGTTCCTGCTTACCTGTTACCCAGAAAAAAAAAAAAAAGTGTTTATATTGCATGAGTTAAAACGAATATGGCAAAGCTGCACCCTAAACTTTTTTTTTTTTTTAAAGTGCAACCACCGGTGGCCTGAAATATGAGACAAACCACCCCCCTCCTGATGTCTGAGAGTTAGGGAATTCAATGAGCCGCGTGCCGAGGTGTGCGGCAGCTGCCCCAGCGGTTCTAGGGGTCTCCGAAGAGCAGACACATCTCATCCCTTCTTTGCAGTAAATATTTATATGTACAGTCAATGTTCTTCTGGAATTAAAGCTAAGAGAGTCTTGGTCCCCTGCGGCCAGGCAGCCATCTGGCCGAATCCCCGCCGGGGGGACGACGCTTCGCGTTTCTGCACACCGTGTCTGCATGCACGTCCTTCACCTCGCGCACCTGCACGAGCGCAGTTAAGCCCCACGGACCCGGAGAAGTCCTCGCATGCCCACGCAGCGCGGTGTGAACGCACTGGCAGACGTGCTGGGGCTGCCTTGGGGAGAGGGGGGGTGAGCTCGGTCAAGTGGGATGGGGAAACTTATCACTTTTTATTTGGGCTGTAGACCCCCCAAATAAAGGGATTAATTTGGGGTCTCACCCAAAGGGGCGAGATCCACGGAGCTGCCGGCGCGTGGCTTTGGT